AATAGGCAGTGGAGCTCTTCAGTGTCTTTACCTATCTCTTTTCTTCTTTTTCTGTTTCATTCAATAAGGAAAAGAAGCTTCCTTTGGTGTGATTTGAGATTTAAAAGAGAACAAGAGAAGAGAAGGGAGACCCGGGCTCGTAATTTAGTATTGAGGGGGAGGCCCGGGCTCGTGATTTAGTATCGGGGAATTTAAAAAGTCAATTTCATTTCAATGTCCAGGGGCCCGATTTGGCCAAATTTTGCCGGGCAAAATTTGGCCAAATCGAGCCGCGCATTTCTCATCGCGTACGACGAGCAGCCCAATTTGGCCAAATTTTGCCCGCAGACTGCCCGGCAAAATTTGGCCAAATCGAGCCGCGATAGTTTAAATCATTTCGGGCCTCCAGAAAGGCGCGGCTCGATTTGGCCAAATTTTGCCGGGCAGCCTCCGGGCAAAATTTGGCCAAATCGGGCTGCCCTTCGTATGCGATGAGAAATGCGCGGCTCGATTTGGCCAAATCTTGCCCGGAGGCTGCCCGGCAAAATTTGGCCAAATCGAGCCGCGCCTTTCTGGAGGCCCGAAATTATTTAAACTATCGCGGCTCGATTTGGCCAAATTTTGCCGGGCAGCCTCCGGGCACTTTTGGCCCCCCCCCTTTTCGGATTTACATTATTTAAATTATTTAAAATATTTAATTCCAGGGTGGAATTAAATAGTTTTAATAATTTAAAGCCCCCTTGCCCTTATTTTGCTAGCTTTCTGAAACGACAAGGACAACAACACATAGAAAGAGAGGAAAGGAATGAAACAGTAGGCAGTGGAGCTCTTCAGTGTCTTTACCTATCTCTTTTCTTCTTTTTCTTTTTCATTCAATAAGGAAAAGAAGCTTCCTTTGGTGTGACTTTGAGATTTAAAAGAGAACAAGAGAAGAGAAAGGAGACCCGGGCTCGTAATTTAGTATTGAGGGGGAGGCCCGGGCTCGTGATTTAGTATCGGGGAATTTAAAAAATCAATTTCATTTCAATGTCCAGGGGCCCTGCCGGGCAAAATTTGGCCAAATCGAGCCGCGCATTTCTCATCGCGTACGACGAGCAGCCCGATTTGGCCAAATTTTGCCCGCAGGCTGCCCGGCAAAATTTGGCCAAATCGAGCCGCGATAGTTTAAATAATTTCGGGCCTCCAGAAAGGCGCGGCTCGATTTGGCCAAATTTTGCCGGGCAGCCTCCGGGCAAAATTTGGCCAAATCGGGCTGCCCTTCGTATGCGATGAAGAAATGCGCGGCTCGATTTGGCCAAATCTTGCCCGGAGGCCCGGCAAATTTTGACCGGCAAATGTTGTTCCTACCCGTTCCCCGTTTTGTGTGGTATTTGCATCACTTTTCCATGGTGCCAAGGGGATCCCGGCAAATTTTGACCCGCAAAGTTGTTCCTACCCTTTCCCGTTTTGTGTGGTATTTGCATCACTTTTCCAGGGTGCCAAGGGAATCCCGGCAAATTTTGACCCGCAAAGTTGTTCCTGCCCTTTCCCGTTTTGTGTGGTATTTGCAGGACTTTTCCAGGGTGCCAAGGGAATCCCGGCAAATTTTGACCGGCAAAGTTGTTCCTACCCTTTCCCGTTCTGTGTGGTATTTGCAGGACTTTTCCAGGGTGCCAAGGGAATCCCGGCAAATTTTGACCGGCAAAGTTGTTCCTACCCGTTCCCGTTTTGTGTGGTATTTGCATCACTTTTCAAGGGTGCCAAGGGGATCCCGGCAAATTTTGACCGGCAAAGTTGTTCCTACCCTTTCCCGTTTTGTGTGGTATTTGCATCACTTTTCCCGGGTGCCAAGGGGGTCCCGGCAAATTTTGACCCGCAAAGTTGTTCCTACCCGTTCCCGTTTTGTGTGGTATTTGCATCACTTTTCCCGAGTGCCAAGGGGATCCCGGCAAATTTTGACCGGCAAAGTTGTTCCTACCCTTTCCCGTTTTGTGTGGTATTTGCAGGACTTTTCCAGGGTGCCAAGGGAATCCCGGCAAATTTTGACCCGCAAAGTTGTTCCTACCCTTTCCCGTTTTGTGTGGTATTTGCAGAACTTTTCCAGGGTGCCAAGGGAATCCCGGCAAATTTTGACCGGCAAAGTTGTTCCTACCCTTTCCCGTTTTGTGTGGTATTTGCAGGACTTTTCCAGGCTGCCAAGGGAATCCCGGCAAATTTTGACCGGCAAAGTTGTTCCTACCCGTTCCCGTTTTGTGTGGTATTTGCATCACTTTTCCAGGGTGCCAAGGGGATCCCGGCAAATTTTGACCGGCAAAGTTGTTCCTACCCTTTCCCGTTTTGTGTGGTATTTGCAGGACTTTTCCCGGGTGCCACGGGGGTCCCGGCAAATTTTGACCCGCAAAGTTGTTCCTACCCGTTCCCGTTTTGTGTGGCATGTGCATCACTTTTCCCGAGTGCCAAGGGGATCCCGGCAAATTTTGACCGGCAAAGTTGTTCCTACCCTTTCCCGTTTTGTGTGGTATTTGCATCACATTTCTAGGGTGCCAAGGGAATCCCGGCAAATTTTGACCGGCAAAGTTGTTCCTACCCTTTCCCGTTTTGTGTGGTATTTGCAGGACTTTTCAAGGGAATCCCGGCAAATTTTGACCCGCAAAGTTGTTCCTACCCTTTCCCGTTTTGTGTGGTATTTGCATCATTTTTCCGGGGTGCCAAGGGAATCCCGGCAAATTTTGACCGGCAAATGTTGTTCCTACCCTTTCCCGTTTTGTGTGGTATTTGCAGGACTTTTCCAGGGTGCCAAGGGGATCCCGGCAAATTTTGACCGGCAAAGTTGTTCCTACCCTTTCCCGTTTCGTGTGGTATTTGCAGGACTTTTGCAGGGTGCCAAGGGGATCCCGGCAAATTTTGACCGACAAAGTTGTTCCTACCCTTTCCCGTTTTGTGTGGTATTTGCATCACTTTTCTAGGGTGCCAAGGGGATCCCGGCAAGTTTTGACCGGCAATGTTGCTCCTGCCCCAGGCCCTCCTGGGCCCCAAGAAGCAATGAAACATAAGAAACAGATGAAGGATGAAGCAGATGAAGCAGATCATGAAGATGATGAAGATGATGGAGATGATGAAGATGATGAAGATGATGAAGATGATGAAGATGATGAAAATGATGAAGATGATGATGATGATGAAGATGATGAAGATGATGATGAAGCTGATTGGGATCATTGATGTCAAGGATGCACATGAAACATATTGGAACAACCGTGGAGATGAGAGAGATGATGGGGATGATGAAAAAAGATGATGAAGATGATGAAGATGATGATGATAGATGATGAAGATGATGACGATAATGAAGATGATGATGATGATGCGGATGAGGATGAGGATGATGATGATGATGAAGCTGATTGAGGGGGCCCTCCCGCAGGAGGAATTAAATAATTTAAATATGAAGGCCCCGATTTAAATATGAATATTTAATTCGGGGCTTTCATATTTAAATTATTTTAATTCCTCCTGCGGGAGGAAGCCCGGCCCCCCCCCCCTCCAGGATTTAAATTATTTAAATTTTTAAATTATTTAAATTATTTAAATTATTTGAATTATTTAATTCCCGGGCCCGATTTAAATAATTTAAATATGAAGGCCACGATTTAAATATGAATATTTAATTCGGGAGCTTCATATTTAAATTATTTAATTCGGGCCCGGTAATTAAATAATTTAAATAATTTAAAT